AGACAATGTAAGAGAGGATGACTTTTTTCTTTAGTACTTGAAAATCATCGGGAGAATAGGTTGTTGCTACGTTTTTTCTTGGCCTGGTCTAGACGTCCTGACCACCCCCATCTCAACCCTCACCCACCCATCATTTTTGTATTTCATCCTTATTGTTTGAAATAATAAATCAATTCGTTTGTAATTTGAGTAGTAAGTCACTATGATTCCTTATTTACAAGAAGTATGGAGTCAATTCTTGAATTTTCCTTATTCTGTCACCTTGCCCTGCTTTATACTCGATTAAGACGGGGCGGGACAGATTAGTGATGGAATCGAATCGAGTGAGATGGACGTAACGAGGCAGCCCCTGATCCGTTTATAACGTTCATTTATTATTATTTTTTTATTTAGTGAATATTATTATTATTAATTTAATTTGTTAAAAACAAGTTATGTTCTCTTTAAAATTGATGATAATTTTTTAAAATTGTTCGATAAAAATTTAAATTTGAAATTGCAATGAACCATATTTTCCATGCATCCTTCGGGACAACAACCCCGCCCTGATTCGTTTACTCGATTAGGCAGGTAAAAATTGTCCCATTAGAGGGAGGCTCGGCTCGGAAGAAGCCCTAGCCGAGGCTCGGGCCGAGCCCCATTTTGGGACACTGAGCCCGGGCCGACCTATGTCAAGCAATTTTTATATAAAAAAAAATTGAAAATTGAAAATTTATAATTTCTTTAATTTATAACACGCATAAAATGTATAATTTTCTTTTTAATTATGAGCATTGAAGTAGTGACATATCTTTTGAAATAACAAATAACTAAGCATATAACTTTGCCTAGTCTTAATGAGAATATAAATATTTATCAACTTCCAACGTATTCCACTAAAATCTAGTCACTTTTTCATAAAATTACACCCTTACAAGTTACAATGACCTTTATTACGTACTTTTGCAATTTATATTTAAAAAAAAATCGAGCCGTCCCGGCCCGGGCTCGGCTCAGCCCGTTAAGGCTCGATCTGAAAGCTCGGGCTGAGCCTCATTTTTTTGGCCAGACTCGGCTCGGCCCAAAAAAGCTCAGGCTTGGCTCGATCTTTTTTTTTCCGGCTTGACTTGGTTCGTTGACACCACTAAATGAGATCGCTGATATCAGGTTCAACAAATTTTTTTTTGTTATCCCTGTAATCAACCTTCAATGCTCAATTTTATAAAGGAGTAATATCCACCACATAGCTAACCTGTCAATGCTATGCCTAACAGAATTGAGACGTGATTGGAGGTGTAGATCATATCCACTCTTTACTGAATATCTTCCAGTTGAATCATAATGCCAAATAAGGCGATCTTGTTGACAAATGAGACTTCACGCAATAGAAACTAATAAAATCACCGTCAATTGTCAAAAAATGAAGGTTGATATTAGCGTCCTTCCACATCCCTGCATCACTATTAAGATCACAGACATTGGAATCTGGCCATGAGGTGGAGAAAGTGGCTTAGAAGAAGCTGGTCTTGACAACCATGGATTGAGAAAGGGACTTATATTTTCTTCATTTTCAACCCGCCAACGAAAACAAATATTATGGAATGTAGTCACCCACGGATGCGTAGAAAACAAGTATCCCATTTTACATGATTCAAACTCTATATTTGGTTGTTTCCCTTAGCGGCTTAGCGTTGATGGAGATGTTAAACCTCGCCACTAGTGTGATTCCGCCAATTGTCCTAATCCTTGTGCCAAAATGATGCGAGTTAGATGTTCTCAATTACTTATTTCGTATTTGATTAGTTGCTTGATATTTACAACTCCGCTCTGAATCTAAATGCTAATCATCCTTCAAATAACAGCCGGATGTCCTTGCTTAACATTTCTTCCCTATCCCAGTGACTGCAATATGTGACTCATTGTTACTGTTTTAGACTTTGGTTGTGAATCATCATGTTAACTTTCGTTTCAAGACTATCGAGAGTAGAGAAATGACCTTAATACCGTCAATGATCACCTAGACACATTCATCTACGATTACTGATGGCAAAATAACAGATGACGTTTACAGGAATCGTAAAGATGCTTCGATCACCGACAAGAAAACATTGATCATTATTTTAACAGTTGTGAATTCTAAAGAGGAATGAATAGTAGTGAGCCTTGCATGGATAATAAATGAATAGTACTTATCTTTGTGTTGTTGTAATTAATATTTGATTTTGTTCGAATCTATAAACTATTTATAAATTGTCAGTCAAACAAAGGCTAAGACGTTATTTGACAAGTGTATATAAACCGACTAGATTTGACATTATAAATATCAAGGGTTCACATTTGATGTTAAAATTAAAATTTAATTAGTTGAACCTATATAAAACTTTAGCAATTAATTACCTTCCCTACTAAACGGGGCTAAGAATCTGAATCACGCACAAAACTGGCTCCTCGGTGCTATAGTTGGTTTTATATACAGACAAACCATTGAACCATAAACACAAAACCCATCAGAAAAAAGAGGATAAAAAACATCATCAGCAGTCGAAAATGCCAAGAAATTAAGCAGGAGACGGGTGGGCCGGGTGGCTGCAAATTGTTTCTTTTTATCTCAAATCTTTATTTTTCCATTTCCACACATTTTACACACGTCTCTCCTTCTCTGAAAATATACCCTTCACATTCTGTGCCCATTTCTTACGGAATCATACACTGCAATTTATATATATTGATTTTGTGTGTGTGTGTGTGTGTAATAAGTTGGGTGTTTAAGGGAAGGTTGATGAAAATGTCCGTACAATCAGTGGTCGGGTGGTGCAGTCTGTGAAATTATTTGCTGGGAAGGTGTTGGCAGCAGTAAAGACTTGATTTTTATTGATTTTGTTGGGTTACGTAGTGGGAAAAAAATCGAAGAAGGCTTGGTCGAGTTCCCGCCGTAGAATCAATGTAAATGGTTGTAATGTTCAAAGGAGTTTCCTTGGGTCAAGGAAAAACTGGGCAGCCTCTATTAAGTTTGTTCTTGATCTTGAACGAGTTAATAGTGCCTCACAACAATCCTCTGGTCTTAAACCCGAGGTGGGTTGACCTAAAATCTCTATAGACTCTGTGTGTTATTCATTTTAAAATGTCAATTTCGAGTTTATAATTGTCTTTGATAGTATTTCTTTCCATTTTTTTGGTTAATTTTGTTATTATGCTGTGAGTTGTTCTAATGATTCTGAGGTTGGCTTTAATTCTCCCTCTTCGTGGATGCTCGTGCCTGAATGAATGTATATGCTTGTAGTTGTCAAGGTTTAAATGGTTCCTGCAATTAAAATGGTTATCTGAAATGTCTGATCAGTACTATGATTCTTTTTGTGGCTAGGGTGGTGGTAGAGCCTGTGTATTGGATGAGGTTTGATGTAAGTTAGTTGTAATGAAAAATGGATCACCTTATGGATTAAGTTGCACAGTGTTTGTAGATTTTTGGTTATCTGGCTTATTTTAACTATTTGAAAATATTGATTGTATATATACATTTTTGTGAATTGTTTAATATTTTGTGAATTGGTGATTTTGGTGATACCTTCTTCTCTATATCCTGAAAAAAAGAGAACAAATTTGTATTGAATTATGTCAACAATTACTTATTGAAAAGAAGAAGGAAATGTTTGTCAAACAGTTATTGGTGCTTTTACATGCAAAAGATTTTTGAGTCTGTAAGTAAAGTAGATACCGTTGGGATTCCCATTATTCGCAAAAATGATATGTTTAGGTATTTAGATTTGATTATTGCAAGGAAAACCTGAAGAGAATTTATGCATAGAAATAGAAGAATTACATGAAATGCATATTACCAGAAGATCTTAACAAGGTTAAAAAGAAGTTTACAAAAGTCATTAGTCTAGACATGCTTTATAAAACTGAGTGTTGGGACGTTAAAGGTCAAAACTGCTACAAGATGAACGTAGTGGAATGAGGACGTTGAGAGGAATATCTATATGAAATGAGAATATAAGCTAATATGCAGAGGTGGCATGAAGCGAGGTTAACTCAAGGAAGGATGACTCATGTGGCTGGGGCACATCTTGGCAGACTGAATCTCTCACTCACAATGGTAAAATAATGCTAGTAGAACTGGCTAAAATGGGGTTAATCGACTGGACCAAGATGAACATGGCCCCATGTGGTTACAAAAGCCAAATTTATAGGAAATTAAGGCTTAGTTTGTTGATGATATAATGCAGGCGTTGAAATTCCTATTTCCAGTATTTATATGTTTTCTTGAGGTTGCCAGGGGCTAAATACTAGCTCTTGGTTAGTTACATCCGCACTCAAGTAATGCTTCTTGAGGTAGTTTACTGTTTCATGACAACATCTCTTCTCTTTCTTGGTCAAATATATTTTAAGTTGCCCCCTAAGTGTTGAGCTAAGGTTTCCCCAATCTCTTTTTCGTATTTGTAGGGCATGGTTACATTGTAAAACTCAATAACCATCCACCAGTGTAAAAGATCATTTTTTTTTAAATTTTTTTTTATTTATGTTGTTTGTTTATTCTTCTATACTTTCATTTTGTTTCACATTCCTTCTATCATATCTGCCTTCTGTTTTTTTTTTCTCTAAAATGTGATGGGAAAGAATTTTTATTTCTCGGGGAAACATTTGAAGCTATCAAATATCATTCTGTATTATTATTGTAGACAATAAAGATGTAGAGATTTTTTCCAATTACATTGCATTTAAATTTAATAGATATTGAAGATCATCCTCGTTATATGAAGTGCTTTGATAAGTGTATTCTATATACTTATCCGGACAATGTAGACATTTAATAGTTCTTTTGATTAATTATAGCCCAATTTAATTTATATTTCGTTTATTAGGTAAAACTTGATTATTGGAAGCTAAATTGAAAGATAGAAGCAAAAATTGGCGGAAAAAAGGCAAAATCCAAAGTTCGGGGACTAATTGCACACCTTCAATAGTTGATTCAGGCAGTCGTTTGCATGTTTTTTGACACCTGGATGTAGGAGAAGCTAACAATTATGTGGGGAAGGTATGATGATTAACCTTTTACACGTGACAATTGGACTTCTATTAATTTTTTTGCATTTATTGCTGTTATTATGATTACAATGACGTCATTATCATACTTACCTCTTTGTGGCATTTAAGTTTGATGAGTTATGGCATGTTTGCTAGGCACGACTATAGAACTTTATCACCCCGTCCTTTTATAGCATCTAATATATTCATAAGTTTATTTCAAGGTATGGCTGGAGTGAATTGGTCGTGACTCCCATTGAAAATACCCTTTTTTTGCCTGAGGATGCCACCATTGTAGGGCATACCTGCTCGTATGGAGCCACAGGTGGTCAGGTCTTCATCAGAGGGAAAGCTGGGGAGCTTTTCTCAAGCAGTGGTGGAAGGCACTGGAAATCAGTATTGTTAGTACATGACGGGAGGTTGTGTAGTTTTTCATCTAATTTGAGTATTCTCATTAATAATGATAAAATTATATACGAGAGTTTCCCAGATTCCGAGTTTCTTTGTCTTGCTTTTGACAGGATGGGTAGAAATGTGGCAGCTGGTATGACTGGAGGTTCGGCGTACATTCTTGATGAGGACGTTACACTTATCCCCAAGGTTTGTAGCCATGAACTTTTTGTGCGAGGGGTAATGGGTTATAACTTTACACCTCCAGTTATCATTTACTTTTCCATGTCTGTTAATTTGATAACAGAAAAGTTGTCATGGCAGTTTAGTTGGCATATTACTAGACTGACACGTCGCCTTTTCCGTTAGTCAAACTAATAGACATGGATGAACTTTTCAATTTGTGACGAAGGGCGTCGAAGGCTAAGTTCAGTGACCAACATGAAATTTTGATTAAATTTAGTGTATTTAGCCTGAGGGGAGGGGACATATATATGGATGGCGCTATTTCTGCTTCAAATATAAATGAATTAAGGCTGCATCCACACCTGAGTTTCGTGTTTATTTGGTTACATGTAGATTGCACCTTTTGTTCTGGTTGTACAACTATAGTTTTTGGACTCATACGATGTAATTAACAGGTGAACAAGGAAACTGTGAAGATCCAGAGAGTGGTTGCTTCAGTCGGTCAGATGCAACTAAAGAGTCGTATTGATGCCCATGTTGTAAGTCGTAACATCGTTATACTATCTAGCTTGGGTTTGTTTAGTTAATCACACTGCTCTTTGTATCACCAAAACCATGATGTCTTCTATATCAGTTCCTACATCCAATTTGGATTCTCACTCTCTTCGAAACCTTAATATATACTACACTGTCCACGTAATGAAAACTCTTCTGCACGGTTCTTATACTTCATACATCTGTTTTTGTATAGGAAAAAACCAGAAGCAGCAAAGGGGCTGCCATTCTCAAGGAATGGGACAAATATTTACCGCCATTTTGGCAACTGGTTCCAATCTTGAGAGGTTGCTTAATTGGTTAGGCCTTGGGTTTGCTCTCCAATAGTAATCAGTTCGGGACCCTCAGGGCCACTGAGGTGAATACCCGTCCGTAAACTCCAGGGCCCGTGGGATTAGTCGAGGTGCGTGCAAGCTGGCCCGGACATCCACGTTATCAAAAAAAATAATAATTTGGCAATTGGTTCCGTTGAGAGAAGACACTCCAGAGGCTTGTGCTGACTTCAACCAAACAGCCACTGAGCCACTCAGGCAAGTGACTTTGCAATATGCATAAGAAGTGACATGATTACTTGAAGACAGGGGCATGTTTACTTAAACTTGCAACCTATAGCTCTGCAAAAATGCATTTGTATAGGATATTCGTTTCTTACCTTTTGGAATGAAATCACCATTGTTGGTCGATTGAAATTGAAGGTCATCGTAGGCTGAGGAACAACAGATCTTTCGTAGTGCCTTCAGCAGCTGTACAGGATCTTGGTGAAAATGTAGGTACTAGGTACTGAATCTGAGGCTACATTTATTGTTGCACTAATGCTTAGCTACTTCGAAATTGAGCTACCATTTTTCATCATCACCAAATAATGAATTTCTTGTTCCCATCGTTTGAAGGTTTAGGACATGTTTTGTTTGTGTTTCATTTTTCAATTTCCTATTTTGAAGGTTCGTTTTAAGATTACTAATATACGTTTGGTTTGTCATTATGAAAAATTATTTCTTAAAACAAAAAATTAGAAAATACGTTCAGTTTGAAATTTTGAAATTTTTTTTATGACACTGTATTTCATTATATTTAACTAATCAGTAAAATAGAACAATTTTATATTAATATATTATCAAATAATATATACATTTTAAAGTTTGTGAATCTTACAATATTTTTCTCACTACAAAAATAAAATAAAAATAAAAAATAAATTGAATTAAATTAAATTAGATAGTAAACAAAAATAAAAATTAAAGATGTGAATGAAGAATACTTTTAGTTGAGTTCATTTAAATATATTTTTAGAATTTTTATATAAATAATTATTAAGAGCTTGAACTATTTTTGTTTTTTATTTCTTCAAATTTTATTTTTTTTCAAAATTTTTATTTTATATTTTTAAGAATTCTATACTTTTTGAATTTAATTTTTCAAAATTTTTATTTTGTATTTCTTATAATTTATTAATTTTATTTTTTTGGATTTTATATTTGAAGAGTTCGAAAATTTTATTTCTTCTTTTAAATAAAATTTCATTTAACCGTTTGTTTTCTATGTTTTGTGTGTTTCAAAATTTTCACTGAAAACACTTAAAATGCCAAAAATGAATTTTGAGTTTTCGGAAATACTAAATCAAACACATTTTTAATGTTTTGCAAAATTGAAAATTAAAAACAGCAAATCAAAAGCAGCTTCCAAAGATTGATCAATATTGCCTTATTTTTGTCATCTTAAAGATGATTAATATCTTATATTGGGGAATACAAACTATAAACTATTCGAAACTTACTTCTTTTGCGCTTCATTACTCGTAATCCATTTAAGAATATGGAAACTTTTAAAGAGAGAACACACTTCCGAGTTCTCTATTTCAGAAACCGTTTTATGTTCATTGTTATTGAGGCTCGGGGTTCCATCTTCAAAGAATAATTTTGTTAAGAGTAATCTAAGCTTATATATTTTATTCCTAATTGATGTGAGATTTATCTATTTACAATCATCAATCAAATTTCGAAAATGAAAAAAAATAAAAAATATGTGATGACATGTTTGTCTTTAATCCTTTGAAAATCTTAATTATTTAGTTTGAAACCAACCTCTTTCCTTGCATATTTATTTTTTCATTAAATCTCAAATCTCATCATATTTTATAATATATATATGAAATGAAGAAAGAGAAATTAAGAGCGTGAGTGAGAGATGAAATGAAGGGAGAGAGAGAAATCAAGGTTTCCCTACATTTCTTACATCTCCCTTTGTGTTCTAATTCCAAATGAAATGAAGAAAGAGAGGAATGTAAAAGAGTGTGAGTTCCATGTGGAATAGAAGAAGGAAAAAGAGTATAAATTAAGTTAATATAAAAAGAGTGTTTAGCCATAGAAA